TAAAATGTTTGTCATCATGTTTTCTACAAAAAGGTCTCATACTAGGATTCCATAGTAATTAATATGTACTCAATATTTTAGTTGGTATATTTAAAAAACTGATAAACAGACTACCCAAAGTTTAAATAACACAACTTTACTAGTGAATGGCCTCGACTCCTATCACGGAGTCGATACGGCCAATAACGAGATAGCCGCCCCAAGCGGCGAGTAGTGAGAACTAAATCGTGAGTAACAAAGAAGTACTACACGTTGGTATCACTGTTTTATTACCCTCTCCCAAGAGCGTCCGCGAGATACAGGCGGGAGAAGTTCAAATGCGGAGGTTGGTGGCTTTGAAGAAAGCCAGTAGAAGGCGGCATATTTTGACAGAAGGTTTCTTTAATATGGAAAGGATATCTCTAGGAATGTTCAGGAAAGTTTTATCAATAAATGAAATGAGTTTGGCTGACTTAGGAGAAATGACAGGACAGTAAAAAATTACATGGTTGACGGGGGTCCCCGCAAGGACAAGCCTCCGAGTTGACCATATTCTTGCGAAACAGACATTCAGATTATAATAATTAGATATGATGCGATTGATTAAAATGATTTCCTCCCTTTTCCCTTCCCTTTTTTGATGTACCAAGTCTTCTGTGAGGAATCTCTAAAATATTGCTCATATAATAATCCTTTTTGCAAAAATTCCCCATCAAGATAGTCCTGGAACTGTCTAAGTAAAGATAGATTTAGGCTCCACAAGTGTGTCCATATATGAAATCTTGTCCATTCGAATGCCATTTCTAATTCCCAATTTGGCAAGTTCGTCAGCGTTTTCACTTCCTTGGATACCCTTGTGAGAGGAAATCCAGGCAAGGTCAATCCGCATACCCGAGGAGGCGGCCAGATGTAATTGGCTTTTAAGAGTGTGCACCAGATAGTTACCGTTGGTAGTTCTAGGTGACGCGATAGCCTCTAAGAGGACTCACTTTTGGAATCGGTAACAGCTCTAAAACAGTGCTCCTCGCAGATCATTTTCAAAATGACGCACACACACACACACACACACACACACACACATCTTAAATGAATAAAAATTTATACTTAATTCACATTGGACGCAGTAAGCATCAAGCAGCGAAGCAGCCAACCAGCAAGGCGATATTGTTTACGCCACTGTAAATATCGCTTCACTGATTGGTTGCTGCTCCGCTGCTTGACGCTTGCTGCGTTTAGTGTGAATTAGGCATTAAACTCGACAATGAAGCAAGTAAAGCGAGGTCCACCCCATTTCCCAACTCTGAGTATTTTATCTTTATCTTTATTTAACATTCGGTGACCAACAAAGATAAAATGATACTCGGAGTTGATAGAGTTGAATTTTGGAATAAAACCTCCTCCCCAAGGAGAACAATTTTCCATACCAACTAAGATGAAAATTTTTCTTATAATTTTTATACGAATTGGAACATTTTTCAGAAATATTCAGAAATATTTCTTCGGAAAGTTTACATCTTCTCTCAGAATTTTTTATACATGTGAATTCTGAAATATTCTGAGATCTGATTTCTTATTCCATAATTAAAAAAAATATTAAAAATTTTTTTAGATTTTATAATATTTCATCAGAAGTTATACTTACAAAAAAATCTTTGAAATCTCTTATATTTCATAATTAAAATAGGGTGTGCATTAAAAATGTCAATTAAATAAAAGTCGATTAAATAAAAAATTTAATTATTGGACTTTGCTTCACATTGTTGAGTTTAAATTTTCATTTATTTAATGAGGCGTACCATTTAACTTTGTGTGATCTTTTTTGTTTTTTATGAAAACGTAGTTTATCCGAAGGTTTACCAATTGTACTACTATAGGGAATGCAATAAATTGAAATAAAACAAACTATACCCAAACAGAATAAGAAGCGATAACATCAAAATGGCATTAAAATTATTGAAAAGGTATTATAATTGATAATTGAAAAGTGACTTTTAGTAATCACTTGAAACTATTTTGATGTTATTTTGATGTTATAATATAAATTTATATTCTGTTTGAACATATATTTCCAACTTATTGCACTAAGATATATCACTTCAGAATTTTCTTTTGAAAAAGAACAGAGTTAATATGTTTATGCAAAGATAGGCCAAGATCATATTATGATTATGTACTTCCGCAGGAAAAACCAAAAAGTCCCAAGGCACAGGTCAATGCCGTATTCTTCCGTAGGCTCTATCAACTACTTAAAATCGGTATCCCTGGTGTATTATCACCAGAGTTTGGTTTTCTATTCCTGGTGGCGACCGCCCTGGTTGGCAGGACCTTGTGTGACCTGTGGCTTATCAACAAGGCTACTTTGTTAGAAACGTATGTGCAATGTTTCTAATTATTGATGGTAAAAAGTTTCATTTATCTGACGCAGAATTTTGTTATCAGGTCAATCGTCAACATGAATCGTGTATTATTCAGGCGATATTTGCTCCATTTGTTTGGTTTGGTACCAATAGTAAGTCGAGTTTTATCGATACAATCTACTTGAAGATTATATATAGCATGGTAATGTGTGGAAATCTTTTTATTGCCAGAGAGAGAAAGAGACATTTTTTTTAATAGTTAATAATGACTACGTTCTGCAAAAAAAGCAGTTGTTGCAAAGTTCTTTAATATATGATTAGTTTATATTTTCAAATCCAGTGAGGAATTAATAGTAAGACCAGTTGTGTTAAAGAATTTTACAAATGTTGCAAAATTACTTTACTAAACGCCCTTTAATATGTTAATGTTCCGTATATTAATTTATTGTATTAATTTAGATAGCGATCGTGAACAACATACTGAAGTATGCTTTAAGCGAAATGAAGTTAAGGTTGCGTACGAATATCACGCGTAATTTAGTGGATGATTATCTTAAGTAAGTAACTGATACATATTTCTTTGTTAATTGAACTTTGTTCGGTTTTATTTACAAAACAGTCTTACAATAGTCTTACAATTAATGTATTCATTATCGATGCGTTTGTATCTTAGCATAATTTTGCAAAATATTTGACCTATTGTCTCCACTTAAATAATTTATTATAATAATAATTTATAATAATATAATAATTAATTTATTACAATAAATTCTACTTATATCGGAAAGAAAATGAAAATGTTGATAAGAAACTATAATACTTAAAACTTAATTCTTGTTTTCGTAGAGGCTTTACTTATTATAAAATGAGTAATCTGGATAACCGAATCGCGAATCCGGATCAGCTGTTAACTACAGACATCGATAAGTTCTGCGAAAGCTGTACAGATCTTTACAGCAATATTGCGAAGCCTCTATTGGACATTGGTCTTTACGTATACAGATTGACAACTACTATTGGCGGACAGGTACGTGTAACATAAATATTTATTTCATTTATGTCTATTTCTATCAATATAGATTAATTTTAATTTCGATTTAAATTACTCTTCATTTTTTCTCATTCTTAGAAGAATACATTGATAGAGATGGACATTAGTGGTTAGCATTTTATCACTACAAATACAAAGTAACGTTATGTTTTTTCAGACGCCACTTATTATACTCTCGTATTTAGTGATAGCTGGTACCTGTTTGACTCATCTTCGCAAACCTATCGGGACAATGACGGTCAAAGAGCAACGATTAGAAGGAGAATATCGTCATATCAATTCAAGGTTGATCGTTAACTCGGAAGAGATAGCATTTTATGGAGGAAACAACAGGGAAAAATTGACGCTGTTAACTAGCTTTCATAAACTTGTGAGTGAACTTTGTTTCCGCATATTATTTTCTATTATATATTATACTTATGAATAATATTACTTATTTTTGTAATGTTTTTTTTTCGTTATAGGTGACTCATCTTCGTAAATTCTTGGAATTTAAGGCCTTGATGGGCATTGTAGATAATTACGTTGGAAAATGTAAGACACGATTTATATTGTGACAAAAACTTAACAACACGTGTTCCACTTTAATTGCTGCTTTTACTTTCTAATACTAATCGCCATATTTTCTGTCAGATTTTGCCACCATAATCGGCTTCTACGCAGTGAGCATACCTTTCTTCCAGGAGAACCACTCTGTACTCTCCGGCACGCCCGATCATAGATTCAGATTATACTACACATACGGCCGGATGCTGGTGAAATTGGCCGAGGCGATTGGCCGATTGGTGGTGGCCGGCAGGGAATTAACGCGTTTGGCGGGATTCACAGCGCGGGTCACCGAGATCAAAATGGTTCTCGACGATTTAAATGCTGGGAAATACGAGCGAACGATGATCTCGGATTACAAAGACAAAGTGATCGGTTATCCTGGTAAAGGCAAAATTGTACCACGCGACAACATCATACGGTTCGATAATGTTCCTCTGGTGACGCCTAACGGAGACGTGCTCGTTAAGGAGCTGTCCTTTGAAGTGAAATCAGGAATGAATGTACTGATTTGCGGTCCAAATGGTTGCGGCAAGAGCTCTATGTTTAGAATTCTCGGCGAAGTATGTGTTTTATTATCTTACCGTTCTAGTTTATTGCTATTGTTTTATAATGTCTTTGTGAACAAATTTTTTCATAAACCATATCGTAATCTACTTGATTCTTTTTAATATCTTTTTTTTTTCTTGTTATTAAATTAGTTCTGATATGGAGAATGATAAATTAAATATAATAATTAAGTTGTTGTTAAATAGTGCTTTAGCATAGTAACAGATTTATATTTCTTGTTGATTTTAATCAATTCGAATTGTAATGTTTAGCTGTGGCCGGTCTGGTCTGGAACTATTACAAAACCTCCGCGTGGTAAGCTTTTCTACATTCCGCAACGTCCTTACATGACGCTGGGTACATTGAGAGATCAGATCATATATCCTCACACGAAGGAAGAGATGAAGAGACGTGGTAACATTAATGATGAGGACTTGAAGAAGTTCCTAGAGCTAGTACAGTTGACTCATCTATTGGACAGGGAGAGTCTCGTTAACAATGAAAAAGAGGGTTGGGACGCAGTGGCTGATTGGATGGACGTTTTATCGGGTGGCGAGAAGCAACGTATAGCAGTGAGTTCTTTTTCCTTTTCTTACGCCTCAAGACTGATATTTATCATTGATTTATACACCAACGAGATTATAATAAAGACTGTCGGCTAGTGATGCCGATTCTCGGATCGATGCATCAAGAATCAATTTTTTTTACTCTTGATTTAAAATCGATTTTTTCGAAATCGATCCAATTTTTAGAGAATCGTACCGGCGATTCTCAATTTTTACAAATCGTTAATTTTGAAAGGAAGGGCGCACGAAGCGATTGTACGTTAATTAATTATTAATTATTCTCAGATAATAATTTAAATGTAAGGCAATAATTTAAATATGATCACCGCGCTTATAAAGAACTCAATGCAATAATATTTATTAAAAAATTATGAAACAATCCATTTAAGTTCTAAATAATATGGTTAAAAAACGTTGATTGTGATTCAAGTCAAAGACACATAAAACAAACTTAAGACAATAAGACATAGCAGTAAGCAAATCGGTCAATCACAATAGAATTACTTTACGTTCTTTATTGTGATTAGCTAATGCGATTACTGCTACGTCTTACTGCCTTATATTTTTGTAAATGCCATGAGCTTTATACTTAAGTTCACTAAAAATAAATCGATATTAAAAATATATAAATCGATATTAATACGTATATACACAACCAAAGAGTACAATGTAATAATTATAAGGAACCTCGTCTATATAATATAATATTGTTATATGAGTATTTAAGGATCGATTTCGAAAAAAAAATCGATCCTTTTTTTTAAGAATCGGCATCACTACTGTCGGTCCTGGGCAAATTTTCGTGACTAGGGCTCGGAGATAATTGAAGAACGATGACGTTACCGACAATAAAAATTTATGATTATTATTATAATAAATATTTTGATAATATATTATTAAATTCGTGATTTTTTTATTATATAAATGCTGTATAAATAAGTATGCACTTTGCTATATCTTTTATATTGCCGAATAATTTTTTCTCTGTAGTTATGATCTCTATCAAACTCGGATGATAACATTAAAATCACAGTTTTAAATAAAAATTGAGTATTATTAAATTTGAAACATGTGTACATGTTTAAAATCCGAAACTAATAAATTATAAAATTAGTACCGTATTATTAGTTTCTTACTTTTAATTACTTAAATTTTAACAGGCATGCGAATTTCCATAAGCGCCGACCGTTTTTAATGGTATCTCGTCGGTGATTTATATGAAATATCTTAATATCTTGTTTGTACCTTGTACCAATTATCTTATCGATGTTTATTTTTTATCGCTGCATTGGATTGCATTAAAATCTTCCTTTTTTTTTTTTTTCATTTTCACTATCTGTATATTTCAAATATATATTTACTTCATTTTCAGTACAAGTGTACACTAATATAGTTATAAAGAACAAATCTTTTATCATTATTATATTATAATTATTACTGATGAAGTATTATATAATTAATACTGATAAAGTATTTTTTAATTGCTTTTGCTATTTGTAAAGATGGCTCGGCTATTTTATCACAAACCACAATTCGCAATTCTGGATGAGTGCACGAGTGCTGTCAGCGTCGACGTCGAAGATTCCATGTACAGATACTGCAGACAAGAGAACATTACGCTATTCACAGTCTCACATCGTCGCTCCCTTTGGAAGCATCATGAGGTATCGCTGTAAATCTATTTTTTTTTTGCGTTGATCAATAGATGTATTTATGTTTATTGTATTATTAAGTTTTGTGACTTTTATGTTATTTTATCATTGCTTAATTTTCTGTTTATTGCTTCTAGTACTATTTACACATGGATGGCCGCGGAAGCTACGAGTTCAAGCCGATCGAGCAAGACACGATAGAATTCGGATCGTGAATTCTTGCATTTCTTGTACGGAAATGCGTCAGTACGCAAGGGATATCTGATTTAGCTTTCTTTTTCCTTTTAGTCTACGATTATTCAACAATTCCAGCAATTTAATAGGAGACATTTTATCTATTAATCAGCAATTTTTATAAGTATAAAGTATCACGACAAAACCGATTATTAAGTATTAAATCTATATATAATTGCACAAGATGCCTTTATACAGAATGTACATGTACTGTACAGAATGTATATATTATACAAATGTAATAGTGATAAACGCGGCGTTGTCGCGATCATTTTCGGCGCTATCGTAAATTTCTTCGCGTAGATATGTAATCAAATCTGCCATGCACAAAGATATATTTTTTGATTGTTATTTTTCTACAAGATAATATATTTTTGATAATGTATTGTCGTTGCCGAAGACACATCGAGCTTGGAACGTATGTGTTATCATCATATATAAATGACGACACATCGAGCTTGGAACGTATGTGTTATGATCATATATATATGATACTTTTAGATCCTTAAGGTATGGTAGAAGTACGTTAGGTATATTCGTTTTCGAGACGAATTTCGTACTGTTTTGCGCATAACCAGATGCGGCCATTTTAAACATTTGCATCGCGGTAACTTTGAAGTAACACAAAGTGATATTTCGCGAAAATGAGTACGTGTCAAATAAAAACGTGCACAAATAATTTCATAAAAAAAGATGCAGAAATTTGCATTTTTTTCGAAGTATTTGCATTTCTTTCTAAATTATTATAAATTGTAAATTATATGAATTATTATAACTTATAAATTCTTTATAGTATATTGTCTATATATGTAAATTATTATAAATTATATAATATTAAATTTAATTAATTTATATTATTAAAATATTTAATTATTTAAATAAAATTATTATTTTTATTATTGCACAAGATAAAATCAAATTTATTATATTATAAATATATAAAGTAACACTGACAACGCCAACTTCAAATAACCGCGGCAACATGGCAGCTTCTGGATATCACTCTTCTTATGTTCAAAACGTGCAAGAGTACACCTGATATATTTTCACCCATCGACATATAATGGGTGCTTTCCAGTTGTAGTGCATCCGAGGAAACGCTATTAGCCCTACTTCTATCATTCTATCTTCGTTGTTTATTAGACACAAAACAAGGATAGAATGACGCTAATAGCGTCTCTTCGAACGCACCTTTGATGACACAAGTGTTCCATCTTTGTCGCTCTCTGAATGTCAACAAGGATAGAACAACACTTGTGTTAACTTGTGTCATCAAATGGAAAGCACCCAGTATTAGATGGAGCATAAAGTCCTAAACACAATGCGAGGCAACAGCGATAGCGATAGAAATAGCGATAGCGATAGGAACAGAAGAATCCAACCTACGGGAATGCATATGTCAATACATATAGGAACACGGAATAAGGCAATAGCGATAAATTTCCAACGAGTTGAAATTCTATGTCTATCGCCTTATAGCCTACCAATCAGCGTCCAGATTTTTCAATTCTGTTTATGTGTACTATAACTCTGAAGTGGATGGAAGAATATGCTACAGTCTCTATACGAAATCAGATTGACATTTTTTATTTATTTCGCGGCATTGTGCAACGAAAGGCGACAATTATATATCGCTTATTTCTATAGCATTCTTATCTCTCTATTACTATTCTTATCGCTGTTGTCTCGCTGTTGTGTTTAGAGTTTTAGCATCGAAACCATCTAGACAGACCTACGGTCATGTTCTACCTTTTGATAATTTTACCTGTTAGGTAAATCTGGTAATCTTGTTACTTACCCAACAAGTAAAATTTACCAAAAGGTGAAACAACCGGTCTGTAGAAAGAGATAGAATGATGTTTGGTAGAGAGAATCGAGGGAGAGTGGAGCCGAGATTGTTTCTCTTCTCTGATTAGTTCTGCCATTTGTAGTACAACTTCCGCAAATGTGCATGTGTGTATATGTACATCTATATCATACACATAATATTAGTGTATGCGGTGCAATACACTAGAATAGTGTGTGCATACTTTCTATGTATGTTGCATCACGTTCCTACCATCGGCTTGTTCTTTTTGGCTGAACTTTTGCACCAGTTTACCTTTCTTCCTTTTCTTTCTAGGAAGGAAGAGGAAGGAAGAGATAAACTAATACAAAAGTTCAGCCAAAAAGAATAGGCTTCATATCTCCTACTCACATCAATGGTGCACTACAAATGGCGGTTTCCGAGTGAGTTCGGACTCCACTCTCCTTCGATTCTCTCTGATGTTTGGGTAGTAGCGATCAATAGGACAATAGTAGAAAGAGAGTTCCGTGCCTAAATATTGTATTTACCTTTCTCTTTCTAAGCCCGCAAGACGAAAAATCAAAGACATTTTGCCGCATGCTCCGTCCAGTACAATAATATGTCGATATATGGCTTCCACCATGCCTTGAGGTATAAAACCAGAGACAATTGAAAAGCACAGGCAATAGAAACAAAGAATAATAAATTTTAACCTATCAAAAACGTATATTCCAGAATACACAGTTTCTGATAGGTTGAAATTTATTATTTCTTATTCCTATTACCTGTGCTTTTCGATTATGCATTAGACTTTACTGTAAATTATAGACTTGCATAATAGACTTTTCATTGAAGACGTAAGGACAACATTAATAAGAGAGAGAGAGAGAGAGAGAGCAGTAATCAATCTTTTTTTTTAGTTATTCAATTGTGTAATATGTGACTGAATAAGTAACAGATCATTCATGTTCTGTTTTTCATATGTGTCTTCAGCTGTCATGTATGAATGCGACGTAATCTATTTATTATACACAGTGCGACAAATATGTTCCCGGACACGAACCATATCTCAGCAACCAGTGGCAACATCTGTGCGTTCAAACATGCATTTGAAAGGTTTAACATTTCCCTATCATCTGTCAAAGTTTCATTCATTTTGGTTGACATATAACGAAGATATCACAGTTCATGTTAAATAAGATTTTGGTCGAGGTAGAAATTTTAATATGGAACAAAGAGCAGTGATTAAATTTAACGCAAAACTTGGTAAAAGTGCATCAGAAACATTCCGATTGATGCAACAAATTTACGGCAATCAATGTCTAGGTCGTACAGCTGTTTTTGAGTGGCATAAGCGTTTTTTGGAAGGCAGAGAGACCCTTGAAGATGACAAAAAATCAGGACGGCCAATTTTGGTTCGAACACCCGAAATGATCGAAAAAGTACGTAATTTTGTTGCAAACGATCGCAATGCGTCACTAAAAATGATGGAGGAGGCTTTAAATATCAGTAGAGAAACGATTCGAACCATATTACATGAAGATTTGGGTAAAACGAAGGTTTGTGCGAAGTTTGTTCCACACACATTAAGAAGCGATCAAAAATCAATGAGAATCAATCATTCCAGAGACATTTCTACCTCGACCAAAATCTTGTTTAACATGAACTGTGATATCTTCGTTATATGTCAACCAAAATGAATGAAACTTTGACAGATGATAGGGAAATGTTAAACCTTTCAAATGCATGTTTGAACGCACAGATGTTGCCACTGGTTGCTGAGATGTGGTTCGCGTCCGGTAACATATTTGTCGCACTGTGTATAAGTCTATGCTGTAAATATATGCAATTTTGTAGTGCTTAGAGTTTTCCAGTGTAAATTTAATTAAATATCAGTGATGAAATGATTAGCAAATACTTGCCAAACTAAACAATGTAAATGATAAGGAATTAAAACCGCGAGATTTTATTAACAGTTGTATCATATCGGAGAAAGTGTATATGTGTACATGACAGAATTTACTGTAAAGTATGTTTTGTAAGAATATAACTGATATCGTTATGTGTAGATCACATATGTTACACTTGGATAGATACGTGAATTGAGCCGGAAAATTATAACGATATTGCTGGACAATAGGAAGATTCTATACATATAATGAGGAAAGAGCAAATTAAAATTGGTAAAGAATACATACACAATAATATGGTGTAAAAATTCAAGGTGAAACATTTCTGTGGATGCGCAGTAGAGTGAATTTGGACCTGAGGTATATGTATTCTTTGGCTGAAGTAGTGTACACTTTTGGAACTTAAAGTAAGATAAGTATATTTGATATTAAAACAAAAGCGAGAAAAAGTCTTAGTGTAGTCTAGTGCAGGAATCAAAATAGACCTCTTATTGGTTGTTTCTAATACATTATACCATGCAAAATAATACTTCGACGAACTGTAATTGTGATTCTTTCTCTTCCACATATTGTATCGTTTTTAATTGTAGATTATTTTTTCTATTTAAAATTATAACAGATGACATTAATCAGTAATCACTTCCGTTGATACTTATATATACACATCTAAATAGAGCTTAAATATTTTAATCTATTCTCTCTGTAACAACTTTACCGTATATTCCGAAAAACATTTTCTCTATTACAATGAATAGTTTGCTATAACTGTTAAAAAAATACATAAGGAACTCGGACTTAATATACTCGTATATTTATAATGAGTTCGAAATGAAGTAAAAACTAAAATCAAAATATTTTCTTAGCAAAAATTTCTATGAAGCTAATATGTGCAAAGTGCTAATATATTTTGTGAAGAATAAAAGAGATTTTTCTAATCATGTGTAAGTCATTAACAATACTGTTTGGTTAAAAATTCATAAATCCTTTATTTTTAGAATTTCCTAAAATTAATAGACGAAAAACTTGATAATTTTGAATTCAATTTTCATGAATTTTCATGAAAATAAAGAGATAAAGTTATATCATTACGAAAGATTTATTTAAATATCTTTTTAAATTTCTTTAAAACACTATTATATCAGGTAAAATATTATTTAGCAACATGATAACAATTTTTAATTCATATAAAAGTTATTGATTTAGATTACTTTTTCTTTATTTTTTTATGGATGTATCTTTTAGAATATAATGCAATGTTTTCTATTTTTATCAAACATTTTTCTAATGTTCTATTTATATAGGTCTAAATTATTAGAACTTCCAATTTCTAAAAAATAATAAATAAATGATGATGAATTTAATTAATTCACATTTGTATTACACAGTAAATGGTAACATTAAACACATTTTAATGGAACATGTGCAATAAATCTTATAAAAACAGTTTAATCTTGACAGTCATGTAAGTTTTTTTTACCATTTTTCGCGTATAATCTCATGTTAACATTTTTTAAACCTTTAATTATTTTTAACCTTTTGGGTCGGTCGTTTTAAAACAAAAAATATTTTTTTTTTTAGTTAACTTAGTAATTTAATGACCAAGATTAACTCGGACATCAACACGTTTTTCTCGCTTGTTATGTTATTAGTTTATACTCTTATGCGCTATCATTATGTAATTTTGTTAATATATCTTTTTGTACTGAAGAGAACCTTGACCGTAGGTCGAAACGTATACGTTTAATATTCATTTTAAATAAATTAAAATATACACTAATAATCAGTATCGGCTCAAATTGGCATTTTATTTATTATTTTTTAGAATTTTCTTTAGAGCCTATTGATTTTATTGTTTCCAATTTCTAGCTATATAATATCATAAGTTAATCTTTTCTTCCTAACATTTAATTTTAATTTCCAAAAAAATTTCCACGAAAATAAAAACAGATACATCCGTTCATTTTTTAAATTTCGCAACACAAACAGCGGTGTCCGTTTTATGAGAAGAATATATCTCACTAAAAAAATGTTTTAAAATTCATTTTTAAAAGCAAAACATGAACTCGCACAATTGTTTCAGGAAAACAACCAGAACGCGGTTGTTCTCGCTTTAATTAGCAAATTAATAATTAATTATAATTACAATCAATGAATGCCGATTTAATTAATTGGCATTAAAAAATCACTTGACTTAATACACAATTTATAAATATCTAATTCATTACTTCTGGTCTAATTTTTTCTCCATGTATTAAACAATAAAAACTAATAATTCTAATAATATTATTTATTTATTATTACACTGAAAAAATTTATTAAATTTTAATAAATATATTTATTAAAATTTAGTAAATTTTTTTTCAATATAATTAATTCTATTTATACTAAAGGGGATTACAGGTGGTCGTTAATTCGAATAAATTGCGCGACCGCGCTCGATTCGACTCGGTTCGCGTTGCATTCTTCGGCGCGGTGGCGCGACTGCGGTCGGTTCGACTCGGCTCACGTCGTGCCACTTCGACCGCGCACTCGTCTCGTGGAACGGTGGACGACCGGATTGGGTCTGGGAATCTAGCAGAAGCTCCGGGAGCTCCGGTTTTCAGTTTGCTGATCGCAGATCCTACAGTCGTAGGATTCGAGCGCTCGAGGGAGGATCGTCGTGCGTATCGTGCGTATCGTG